TCGTTTCTGTGGAGCTTTTTGCTTCTTTTTTCTACTTTCCATGAAATGGTTTGTCTTACTCTTTCTTCTTTTCTACCACTTTAGAAACTGCAGACTGTGTGGTTTCCTTTAAGTGTTTAACATAAACATGTATTTAATTACAGCTTTTCTAACACAGTCTCAAGGTTGTCATCATCTTTTGCCTCCCTCTGAACATGATTTTACATGTTGTAGGAATTCACCGAATATAACGTACCAAATATTGTTTGGCATTTTTCTACTCATTTTTAACACATAAACTGGTTTAAAGTTTCTTAACAATAACTAGCTTATTTACCCACATATTTTACAGCTTTGGTGTTTGTGTTCATTTCCTAGTGCTTCCATTAACAAAGTGCCTCAGACTGGGTGGCTGAAACAGATTTGATTTTCTCAAAATTCTGAGAAAGAAGTGCCCCCTGTTTGGTGTGGCTCAGTGGATTGAATGCCGACCTGTGAACCAAAGGGTCACTGGTTCGATTCCCAGTCAGGGCACATGCCTAGGTTATGGGCCAGGTCCCCAGGGAGGAGTGCAGGAGAGGCAACAACACATTGATGTATCTCTCCCTGTCTTTCTCCCTCTCTTCTCCTCTCTCTAAAAATAAATAAGTAAAATCTTTTTACAAAGAGAGAAAGGAAAGAAGGAAGGAAGCAAAGAAGGAAGTCTGTCTGAGGTGAAGTTGTCGGCGGTGTTGGTTTCTTCTAAGGCCTCTCTCCTGGGCTTGCAGACAGTCATTTTCTCATTGCGTTCTCAGGTGTTTTTTGCTCTGTGTGTGCACCTGTCTGTGTCCAGATCTCCTCTTCTCATAAGGTTACCAGCCATTTGGACTAGGGTCCACTTATATGCTCTGATTTAACTTAATTACCTCTTTAAAATACAGTCAAGTTCTGAGATACTAGGAGTTAGGACTTCAACATATAAATTTGGAGGAGGGGCACAATTCAGCCCATAACAGTATTCTCTTGCATTCTGCTTCCATTTGAGTGGAGTTCCTTTTTTCCTAAAAAAGTTCCTTAACAAAGATATGTATGCAGGAAAGAAGCTATGACCTCTGTATATCTGAAAATCTCTTTATTTCCTTCAACCGAAAGTAATTTTCGGGAATGTAGTATTCTAGGTTGGTGTTTTTTCTTAGCCCCTTGAAGATATTCCTATGTTCATTTAACACCCATGACATTCTGAGCCCCTGTATTATGTGCCAGGTACTATTCCAGGTGCTGCAGAGGACAGCAGCAGGGAACAAACCCAAGCCCCCGCCTCCCAGGCAGTGTGTCTCCTGTGGGAGGAATAAAATAACATTTGTACAGGTCGTGTGAGTGTGTTTTCAGTTCTCTAGGGCTGCAATTTTCAACTGGTGTACTGCAAGAATTTTTAAAACAAAGAAAAAATGACAACAGCCAACACAAAATAGTTACGGGTATGAATGCCCTATCTTCGACCATAAATTTATAGGTCATGTAATAGAGCTGCATCTTGTTGCTCACACTGCATAATAAGGTTGCAACTGATTGGTTAATTCTTGATACCAGAAATTTTTTTAAAATAAACTTGTGTTTTCTCTCTGTTTAGTTTTTTAAATTAATTTTATTTATTTATTTCTAGAGAGAGGGGAAGGGAAGGAGAGAAACATCAATGTGTGGTTGCCCAACTGGGGACCTGGCCTACAACCCAGGCATGTGCCCTGACTGGGAATCAAACCGGTGACCCTTTGGTTTGTAGGCTGGTGCTCAACCCACTCAGCCACACCATCCAGGACTGATACCAGAAATTCTTATGTACAAGTATAGGCACCTGATTTTTTAAAAAGTCACTTTGGAGCAAAAAGGGCATGTAATTACTATTATTATCATTTTTTTGTAAATCAATCAAAATTATACCTATATTTGCCAGGGAAAAATGTAATTTTTGGTATGTTTCAGAATTTTAGGAATTAATTTGTGTGTGCCATTAGATGAAAAAGGTTAAAAATCACTGCCCTAGGGTAAGCCCCCAGGAGGAGGATTACTGGGTCATATGCTGGTGTTTGTTTAACTCTATGTGAAACTGCCGAACATTCTCCTGATGGTTGTATCCTTTTACATCCTTGCCAGAAATGTATGAGAAGTGATTGTTTTTCTGGATTCTGAAGGTTTCTGTATCTTTCTCTGCTGTCCCTGGGTGAAATATTGTCTAGTTAAATTCATTTTCTGTTTACTTCACCCAGTCAGGAATTTATCTAAGCGGGGTTTTTATGTGTATGTAGATCTTTTTTCAATTCTAGGATTGCTAATTAGCTGATCATAGTAACTAATTTTTGTTTCATTTCTATTAATTTTAATATCATCATATCTTGTTTACATTTCCGAGAAGCATATTCTCCCATTTGTCTCTTTGAAGACCCTAAATATAATCTATGTTTGATTCAGTTTTGGATGGCACTTATTTTTATCTTCCCTAAGTGGAATTAATCTTCAAAATGAATGTGTTGGTTTCTTCTTAGCACTTAATTCCTCATATATTAGAATTTTAATGCAGACTGTAAGTACCCCATTTCATTCTATGTGTACTCCTTTAGCTAGTAAGTTTATATTGTTTCCAACTGGGCTCCTGTGGCCTAAAGCCCAGAATTGGTTCTTAAATTGACACCTTAAGGTCCTGTCCTGGAATGTTGCAGCAGACAGTACCTGGCCCTGAATAGGTTGCCTAGTGTGAGTTCTTGATTTCATGGAGGAAAAATCACAAAATGGGTCCAGGTGACTATGACGGTATGTTTCTATTGAAACTGGGGACAGTAAACAAGGAAGGGCCTAGAGTAGAAGAGGCAACAGGAGAGCCCAGGCTGGGCTGCCTTAGTTCACTGAGAAGTCAGAGAAAAGGGGTTCTTGGGGACAGGTTTGGGGGATTAGCCTGGGATGATCTATGACTGCCCATTGCTCCCTCTGTTGCCAAGTCTCCTGGGGCCCCAGGAGAGTCTCTTAAACTCTAAAGTTTAACAGATGCGTGCCTGTAGGGGAAAAAGTGGGGAAAGGGAATGGCACAGGCTGCTCCCCAGAGGGAGAGTCCTCTCTGGGTCCTTTATCTTGAAGTTTTTACCTCTCTTACAGGTGGCAGTCTTAGGGGAGGTCTCAGGGGAGGGTTTCAGCAGAATATTCATCAGTTTTCCAGGTGGACCTGTTCAGAGTCCAGGTCTCCACTGATTGGTCAGTGACAGGGCAGGGGGTCATTAGTCACTGCAGCTGGTGCTGGCATCACCCACCTGGTTTTGCTGCTTTTCTGAGCCTGGAGCTGAAATGCAGATGAGGCCTAGATGTTCTCTCTAGGTGACCTTCTGTATCTGGCTATAAATTGCTCAGCCAGTTTGTTCAGCTCTCTCAGTTTCCCTAGTCCACTTGTCCTGGCTTACTGGCCTATCTCACAGTGATATTGGAGAGATCCCAAATACGTCATCAAATCACTGGAAGGGTTGGCTTGATCCTGTCCTGGGCAGCTTCTAGTCTCTCCTACCCCAAAAGAGTCAAACTATCATTTACTTCTTCTGTTCTGGACTATTAAAAAATAATTTTCAGAAAAAGGTAAAATCATGACTCCCATGCAGTTATTATAATGAACATGTATTAAATATTTTATTAGGTTGGCCAAAAAGTTTGTGTGTTTTTTTCTATAAAATAAAAGATACATTTTTCATTTTCACCAGTAACTTTACTGATTTGGATATTTTGAGTCTGTCAGCTGTCTCCCACATGGTATAATATTGATGGTTCTCAATTAACGTCTTGGTTTGATCACTATCAACTTCAACTGATCTGTACAACCATGGAGCAATGTCCTTTGAGAAATCTCCAGCACAAAACTTTGCAAACCACTTTTGACATGTTTGATCAGTCACAGCGCTTTCCGCATACATCGCACAAATCTTTTGTTTGTTTCAGTTGCCTGTTTACCTTTCTTGAAGTACTAAAGCATAATATGCCAAAAATGTCACTTATTTTCTTCTATCTTCAATATTAACATGGGTACACAAAAATTCACCAATTTTGATGTTTTTTTAAATGCACACTGATGTGACGGCTGTCACAATACAATCTAACAAAATTGTATCAAATGAAGTTAAACACAACTAAGTGCTACTAGAGCCATCTTATGGAAAAAACAAATGAACTTTTTGGCCAACCCAATATTTTAGAATTTCAAATGTACTTTTAGCCTTGTTGAGGTAAGAATGTTCAAACCTGTAGAAAATATTAATAAGAGTTTATTTGAGCCAAACAGAGGACCTGCCAGGAAGGAAAATCTCAACAGACTGAGAATGCTTCCCAGAGTGAGTTTGCAGCTTCTTTTATGCATTTGGAATTAAGGAAGGAAGGTAAGGAAGATGACAGGAGTGTGAGAATGAAAAGCTGGAAAATCTCTGTGATTGGATTACAGGAGAGTTAACAGGATTGTGCTCTCTTTGGAAGGTGGTCTAGAAAAGAGGCATTTCAAGGTATATTAAAGTAGATGCACATGAACAATGGACAGGGCTTGATTACAGCAAAGATAACTATCTTTTACTGGGGAAGTTATATGTCTGGGGTGGGACTACCCACCATGACCTGCTCAGGTAGGAATTTACGATCAGATCACCCTTTCAGGTTACTTTTTGTTAGATTTTTTTTTTTACAGAAATTTTTTTTTCATCCACATTTGATAGGAAGGAACCAAGCACATGTTATATCCAGTTAAAAGGAAAAATATACATGTACAGATTTATATGGAGAAAAGAATGTTAAGATGAAATGCAAAGAGATGAAACTGGTATTGCACAGTGGGAAGTCACTAAGTGGGGAAGTCACTTAGATTACTACCTGGTTGGATAGAATTTACATACGTATGAGTTACCTACAGTTTACAAATAGTTGCAAATGCCTTGAAACCAATGAACAAGATAAAATGGTGATCACTTGGAAAAAAATGTGCCATGGACTATACATAAGTTTCCACTGAAACATGTTTTTTTCTGCAGGACCCAGAACCCCCTTGACTGTCCACTGAACCCATTTATCACACTGTGCTCTCTTTTGTTTTTGGCACATGGAAATACATTTATTGTTTTGGAGCATGGAGCACAGGGGTCCCTTCATCTTGACTGGAAAATAATAATAAAGGTATTTAATCTAAATTATAATATAGCTTTAGAAAAAGCCTGATCTTGTTAATTGGCCCCAGTATATGATCATTATATGATGTCTGTTCAGAAGGTATCCAGCCATATAATATGAAAAATAGAGACATTTATTGAAAAAAATACAAGATACAAGAAATATTGTACTTAGGACAATGAAACCTCAGTCCCCTTCAAAGTAGGCACCTTGGAACCTCCCAGTTCTCCTAATTGCCATCAGCTGCCCTGTTGTATTATCCTGAGTCTCATCAATGGTCTGAAATCTCTTCCCTTTCAAAGGTGATTTTAGTTTTGGGAAAAGCCAGAAGTTGTAGGGTGCCAAATCTGGGCTGTAGGGAGGTTGAGTCACCTGGGTGATTTCACGTTTCACCAAAAGACTCTGCACAAGATGTGATGCATGAGCAGGCACATTGTCATGATGAGGCTGCCAATCAGCAGTTGCCCATAGCTGTGGCCTTCTCAATCATCAGAATGGTTTCCATAGAAGAAGGTTCAAGCTTCACGCAAAATTTGATGCAGATTTGTTGTTCTGCTTGCTCAGTCATTTTGAATGCGACGGCCACACAGCACACATGCTCACTCAATGGCGTCTATCACCTCCGCTGACTAGTACAATGAAGTTGTCACTGTTCACACATGTGCATTCTAGTCCACTCTCCTTGGCTGCCAGGTTACATTATGTCATGTAAACCATTCTCATTATATTAACAATGGCTGTACTGTTTCCAGACAGACCTCATACATCTCCTTTTTACTAATGGCTACCTTCGTCTACGGCCATACCACCCTGAACGCGCCCGATCTTGTCTGATCTCGGAAGCTAAGCAGGGTCAGGCCTAGTTAGTACTTGGATGGGAGACTAATGGCTGCCTTCATTTTACTTTGATGCTCGAACAGATCTCTTCCCTGTTGATATTTTCCCTCCTGTAGTCTTCTAACTGTTGCCCTGGCTCCCTGCCCCTTGCCTCCAGCCCCACCAAACATGTTCCCTTCTTTTTCTCACAACCCATTTCTTCTGAACTTTCTGGCTGGCAAAGATCTCAGTGTCTGGTGTAGCTTGAAGCCGGAATTCCAACTAGATTCTGACTGCAAAGCCTGTGTTCTTTCCACTAGACCATCATGATCCTCAAGAAGAGGAAATGGCATTCAAGCTGAACCTCAAGGGTATGACAGAATTTGTTAGGCAGAAATAAGTAAATAAAGCACTTTAATGACACAAAGCTCCTTTGCCTAGGGCCCAAGTTCCTACTGCTGGGAACAGAAAGTGATAATGCTACAGAGCTGAGTTAGCCCATAGGCTTGTGTTGTGCCTCACACTTGCTTAATGCTTTGTTTTAATCTTGGCATCAGCTCTACAAGATAGGTGTTGTTATCCCCACCTAACCCTTGAGAAAACTGAAGTGGTCCCTCCTAGGACTTATTTGGGGTCTCTCGGCTGTTAATTGGCTAAATTAAATTTAGAATTCCCTTTTTTCAACTCTAGGGTCTTTGTTCCTTCTACTTCATAAGGGGTTTTAAGCAGGCATGTGAAGCGATTAGAATTTATTTAGGAAAGACAATGATAGAAGAATAGCCTAAGTCATCTTTTTGACCGGTACTGAGTATCACTTGAAGGCTGTAACCCTTAATCTAGCACTAAAATTTGGAATTAAAAATGTTTAAGTGCCTTAAAAGCTGTCATGGGTCAGCTACTTATAATGTGGTCCTCACACCTGCAACTTCAGTATAACCCTGAGGTTTACTAAAAATGCAAATTCTCACACCCCTACCTCACACTCACTAGAACAAAAATCTCTGAGGTGGAGCCCAGGAGTCTGTGTTTAGGTAAGCCCTCCAGGTGACTGTTGGACACACAAATATTTGAGAAAGCCCTGATAATTTTCTCTGGCCACTGAGTCTTCTTTCAGCATTTCCTGCTTGTCAAGAGGGTGCATCTTAAAATGATTTCCTTGATAGTAGACCAGAACTTCATCTGTGCATTAAATGACAAGTACTTTATGGTGAGGAGTTATCATTATTGATATCTAGGAACCTGGCTCATTAACTGTCTTTAGCATTATACAGACTCTGGCATAGAATTTAACTCATTTATAAAGGTGGTAGTAGATAGAAAAAAGTCTGGGAGGATATACATCAAGCCGTTGTTAAAGAAAAAGTTATTTAGCCATGGCCAGGCAGCTCAGTTGGTTAGAGCATCATCCTGATACGCCAAAGTTGCCGGTTCAATCCCGGGTCAGGGCACATCCAAGAAGCAACCAATGAATGCATAAACAAGTGCAACAACAAATCAATGTTTCTCTCTAAAATCAATAGATAAAACTTAAAGGAAAAAGTTATTCACGACAAATGAATAGGGGGTGTAGACTTTATTCAGGGGGACCACATCATTGGAGTTTTGCAAGGGTAGAGAGAGATTGGACTCAACTCCAAATACAACAAGGAATGGTGAGGTTCATATTGTTGGAGCAGAGTGGGGGGGTGGTGGATAGAAAATTACTAAGGGGATAGGGTAATTCTGTGCTAAACTGACCTCACAGGATTCTTGTTGAAGGCAGACTAAGGTGATCAGATAATACTTGGCAGATGGTGAAGGATGATGAATTTGATCAGTTATCAAGGGTGGGGGATTCTGGCTAAACCAGCTTGACACAGGATTCTTGCTAAAACTGGGCTCCTGTAGAACATACCCGAGAGTGGGGATTAGTGAAGCTTACAGGACCCTAACTAAAGTTTGGTCAAGAAGAGAGTCCCTGTCACAACAAACAGCGTTTACTCTGGGGACACGGGACTGTGGAGAAATAAAGGGAGGGGCTTTAACTCTTACCTCCACATTTTTATTTTTGCCCTGTATACATGGAGAATCATTTATATCATTCATTTTAAAAGGTGTATTTTGGTAGAGAATTCTGATATGTTTCTAAATGGATACATTTTTTCTCAGTTTCATGTAGTTTTACTAAAAGTAATAAATAATATTGTAATATTCATTATTAAACTTCGAGAACTTCTACATAAATTTATTTACTGAGACTTGCAGCTATTTTAAGTACCATATTTTTCAGACCATAAGACGCACCTTGGTTTTAGAGGAGGAAAATAGGGAAAAAATTTTGAAGCAAAAAATGTGGTAAAATATTTAATAACATAAATAACATAATACTTCACTAATGTAAATGTAAAGCTACATTTGGACTGTAAGACGCACCCCCATTTTCCTCCCAAATTTGGGGGGTGCATCTTATTAGACTGAAAAATACAGTAATCAGCTTTTTTCTTCTCATCTAGTAGTGAGTTGTATTTTTAGAAATAAAATTCAAATGAATAGCCTTAATGTAACAGGTGATGTTTTGTTGAAACTAATTGCCTAGGTATGTTTAATACTAGAAGTATGTATGTGGATGTTTTGTTTTACTTATTGATGGGATTGTTTTGATTTTGAGTGCAATGGAACGTCATTTGGGTCGGCATCTATTTCATTTTTATAGCAGTGAACACAGCCACCATGTTGTGACGGAAACCAGAAAGGCCGGCGTTCACGCTGCCTGTCACCAATGAGCAGAGACAAAGATGGAGTCTTTGTGGGCGTTTTATTTAGATGGCTGTGCTCTGAGAAGACGGTGGGTTATGTACCCTCAAAAACTGTCTTAACATCTCATTTCAAGCCAACCTTTTCATAAGGAGAAGAAAAGGAGTGTCAGGGGTTTGGGGAAAAGGTTAATTAAATAAGAGTTGCAGTCCAACAGTGATATTTTCCTTTTTTATCTGTTGATCAACAATTCCTTATCTGCATTCCCTGCGTTCCCTCCCTGAAACACGATGGCTCCATGGCTTCCAGACCCCTCGGGGCACCAAGACTGAGTTGCTGTCAGCCTCCTGGAATCCCATGGCCAGTGCCTTGCAGTTCCTGGAACGACAGCTCTCCATTTCCTGAGCCACTTAAGCCCATCAAATATAGCAAAGGCTAAAATCTGTAACTTTTGAGTTCCCCCTATCTGATCATGGAGCTAATTCCTTTGACTCTGCATTTCTAATCAGCGCCTAGGGCTCTCTTAGGCTGCCAGCCCAAGGACCACACTTTGAGAAGCAAGCATCTAGAATATACTTGTATCCATTTATTTTAGGTAATCTCCTAAAAGGAAGAAGCACATTTTAAAATCCTCATAGAACTCTAGGATTTTCAGGTGTTCTCACACCCTGTTGTGCAGCCAGGAAGGTTTAGTGAGCTTCTGTAGGGGCTTACCCAGGGACCTTCGGGGAGCTGGGGTTTTCATTGTACTTCCATGTAAGGTTAAAAGGAATCTTCTGGTAAAGACACCTATTTCAATCTCTCCCACTTTTTCTAAAAGAAAAAAATAATCTTCCTTACAGGTTTTGTGTGTGAAGCTGTGTGGAAATCTGAAATGCCATCAATCACATCTTTACAGCACAGTGGTGCCACCAGATGGTAAGCTTTCTTAGCACTTCCTTGATTCCTATGCTAATTTATTTCAGTTCTTACAAATAAAGTGAGAAGTGTGAGTTTTGAGCAAAACAGACTTTTCTTGCCTTCCCCTACCCCATGCCACCCCATTCAGTTCCTTCCTTTTCTGTTCCCCTAATATCTCTGATGTGTTCTGGCCAACACCCACTCCAGCAATCAGAGCAAGCACAGATGAATGAGAAGCAGTTTCCGCCCTCAGAAATGTACTCTTTACCCAGGAAGACTCTAAGGTGATTGTAACGATAGTGCGATATAAGCCATGACAAAATTCATAGCGTGGGAGGGAATCTGTAAACTGTGGTTCGATGGCACCATAGGAGCCATGCAAATGACCATAGGAACTCAGGGACTTATGAATTACATGTTTATGCATTCCTTTTAGAATTTATGTATTTTAAAGTTATATTTATAAAAAGTTAATTTTAGTTCTGTGTTGTCTTTTTTTTTTCTTAACAGAAATAACAGTTAATTACAGACACGGCCTTCCCTTGATAACCCTCACTTTGCCGTCCAGAAAAGAGCGCTGTCAATTCGTGGTCAAACCAATGCTAACAACAGTTGGTTCGTTTCTTCAAGACATACAAAATGAAGATAAAGGTGTCAAAAACACAGCCATCTTCACAGCGGGTATATATGTATCTTTTCAACTTTGTCTTTTTCTTTTTTCCTGAACCTCTGTTTTGCTTCTTTAATTTTTAGGAAAGAAGTTGGTTTTTTAAATTCTTTATATAATAAATGGTTAGTCTTCACTGAGACCTTAATTTTTTATACTCAGTGATATTAAAAACATTAACTCCATTGAAAACAAATTAATGGAGTAAAATAAGTGAAAGTTTCAGTTGCTTATCTCATAAACTTAGCCCTGAGGAAAAAGAATTTTAAAAAATATTTCTTTTTAGAAAAAGGGAAGGGAGGGAGAGAAACATCAATGTGAGAGAGAAACATCAATTGGTTGCCTCTCGCACATGCCCCAACAAGGGACTGAACCCGCACGGGCATGTGCCCTGTCCCTTTTGCTTTGTGGGATGATGTTCAACCAACTGAGCCGTGCTGGCCAGGGCCCTGAGAAAATTTTAATGACACAGTCATCAGCATGTAATTTTCAGCACTATTTAAATGATTGAAAAACAAAATGTGTTCCAATGATTAAAATATCCAGTGAACAATTAAAATATACAAGTAGTTCATTTATCTTTGTTAAAAAGCAATTTCAGTAGAGTATGTTTTATGACAGAATTGTTTCTCAGGAAGAATATACATATTTTTAAATACTAGCAGAGGTGGTTAATCATTTAGAAATTTTTAATTTAAAATACAGCTTTTATGTTCTTGTGGTCTGACATGGCCTTAGACCTACTGCCCCTAAAATAGACAAAGAAGCATTTATCCCAGCCCAGTGTACAGAGGTTACACATGTAAATAAATGAATAAATTTGTTTTGTTATTTCATAGTAGTATCACTCAATTAGAATAAGCTTATTAAAAGTTGAATAATGTTGCAGTTTTGAAAAGGAAATAAACCTTCTTTCCTATCCAAGTTCAGAACTAATGAAGGATAGATATAGAGATTGGGAAAAAATGGAGGTTGAAGAATTTATTTACTCAACCAATATTTATTGCATACCTAACACATGCCAGGCACTGTTCTACATGCTAGAGGTAGAGCAAAGAAAAGCTCCTGCTCTTATAGAGCTTACATTTTAAATGGGAAAAAAATAAGATAAAGGAATAAAATATATAAATTATTAGATAATAAGTTCTTTGGAGGAAAAATAGAGCAGAGTGGGGTGGGGGGAGCCTGTGTGTTGGTGGCGGGGAGGTGCTTGGCAGAGGGGAGAGAGCTGTGTAGATGGGAAGAGGGCTCCCCAGGCAGAGGCCCTGAGGTGGGAGCCGGCTCCTCTGTGGCTGCAAAGGAGGGAGCTGGATGGAAGTAGGAGGGGAGGGACAGAGTGGGGAAAGCCTCGCTGTAGGTTATTGCCTGGACTTTGGATTTAACTTGAAGGGGAGCTTTTTTCCTGGTAAAACCAGAACCAGAGAATAGGGTTTTAGTCCGATGACCACAATGGCCTAATACTCCATCCCTGGACTAGACAGACGTCCTCCCAACCCCCAGCCACAGGAGCACCAAACACCCATCGGCCTTCCCGCCAGGGCCAGGGCCAGGGCCTGCCTTCCTAAGCTTCTGAGAACAGGCAGATGCAAACCTTGAGCACAGTGCTTGCCTGGTAGGTAGTGTGTACTCAATAAGGGCTTATTAAATGAATGAAATAAGAGAAGTTAAAGCATTGATGGATGTGTACCCTGCTTTTTTCTAAAAATAATTTGAGTAGCTTTGAAACATAAAGCACACAGAAAAAGACTAGAAATCTTAGAGAAAGGGGGCTTTTGGATTGACTAAAACACTTCATTGGTGTTTAAATCTATATTTGCTCAAGAATCGGTGAAAAATTTCAACACTTTAATCATTAGCTCCTTCAAAATGTTCCACGTCAGCCTTTTGCTGTTCCTGCGTAGTATAAAGGACGATGTAGTACTTCAGCTGAGAAATCATACACAGTTGAATTCCTTTTCATAGCAATATTTTAAGGAGTTGGTTTGAAGTCATGTAAGTGTAAATTTTAAATGACACTTGCAAAGCCAGATAAAATGATTAGTGTGTTGTTGATCTTTTTAAAAGAGGCTCTGTGGGTGGAATTTGCCTGCATTTTAATTCGGGCATGAAAAGAGTGTTCTAAGCTTGTCACTGTTTTGCCTGTGGTGTGGGTTGAATTATTTGGCAGTTCCTTAGAAGATGATCTCACCCCAGCTGATGAACAGGAACCCAAACAGCCAAATTCTAGGAACAGACCCAGGTGCAGACTCGACAAAAGAATTACAGAGACCCAGACAGGAGGCAGGCAACTGGGATCTGCCTGATCTCGCCGGCAGTGTTACTGCCGTCTCAGCCAGTCATGGAGCTGAGAGAGCTCCAGTTGGGTGTGACCAAGCAAATGGCCAGGAGAAAATACTCAACCTGCACTTTATATCACGTAATTATAAGTGTACCCTTCTGAAGGAGTAATGATAGAAAGAGAAACCCCTACACAGTGCCAACCTTTCGTTTACTGATCAATGAGTTTGCTTTCTTCACACCTGGGTTACATTAAAGTTTAGTTCAAAAATATAATAACATAAACTAGGCCATATGAGAAGTTGTGCAGAGCACACTGAGGTTAAAATTTTCCGAGAGATTTTCTTCCTGAAATGTTCCTAGGATATTTGTAATTACTGTCAGAATCTCCTACCCCTCTCCACCTCCATAAAATAAACTACAGAAATGCAGATTTATCCCTTAGCTTTAATTATGTTTATTACTACCCCTGCCATGCCCGCCTTTCATCTTTCTCAGCTCCGTCTCCATTCATCTTTGCCAAGTCAGAAAAGGAGAGAGCCCTGCGTGTGGTGGTTGGTGGTACTGTTTGCCCACCAAGTTTTAACCAACACAAATCAGTCACCTGTAGTAATTAAAAGTAAGAGAAAGGCAGGCTTTTTTAAACTCTAGAGGGAGGAAGTGAGGGAGAGAGATAAACATCCATTTGTTGTTCCATTTATTTATGCATTCATTATTTGCTTTTTGTACGGGCCCTGACTGGAGATCCAACCTGCGACCTTGGTTAATCAGGACGATGCTTCAACCAACTGAGCAACAGGCCAGGGCACAAAGGCAGGCTTTATAAAATGGTACTACCTGGCCCTGGCCTGCATGGCTCAGGTCCCCCGTTAGGGCTCCTGCAGGAGGCAACTGACCTACACATACCATTTGGGCCTGGCTGTAAGCAGCACAAATGGACTCTGGTGAGGAGTGCATCAGCAGACTCTGAGATTGGGGTTGCTAGAAAGCCAGGCTCAGAATAGGGCAGGAACTGAGGGAGGACACAGCAGAGACCAGGTTAGCCCAGGACCAGCCTGATGAGCTCTGCTGTCACATCCCCATCCCAAAACGGCCATCTCAACTGCTCTGGCCTTGCTGTGAAGAGTTCCCACCTCCCCTGAATCTTTGCAAGACTGTCTACAGATACAGCCTTGCCAGGGACATCAGTCTGGACCCCAGCCCAGCTCGGACAGTGTGTGAGAGGAAGCACCGCCTGCTTTGCTTGGTCCAGTGGAATGGACGATAGAGCAATAAGCGAGGATCCCTCCCAATGCAAACAGTGTTGGGTTAGGGAGCCCCCCAAAAGGCAGGTGTCCACTACTGTACTATAAAGACCTGGGTTTTTATCTATAATGTAAGAGTATTTGTCTATATGGAAAGAGATTCCTACTGTTCTAAAACAAGGACTTATTTTTGCATTATATTTTCTCTTTCAGATGGCAGTAAGATTGCAGCTTCAACCTTGATGGAAACTTTGCTAATGAATGATTTTAAACTTGTCATTAATACAATAACCTATGATGTACAGTGCCCCAAGAAAGGTAAGAAACACAGCTGTGCAACTGCCTTCACATCTCCCTTTAGCTCACTTGTACAGGGAGCAGGCATGCCTTACGAATCTTTTAAAATAACCAAATGACCATATTTAAGATTTTTTTTAGCAGTGGTATAAGTGATCAGTAGAAGGTACATAGCAGGACTTTTAGTCTCGTATACTCTTTTTAGACTTTTAAAACTTCACTGTAGGAACTATAACCTGACTTATTAGGCTAAGAAGTAGACCTGAAAATCATAAACTCGGGTGTGTATTGTTATACAGCTCCTAACTCTTTCTTTAAAAATAGATTTTATTTTTCAGAGCAGTTTTAGGTTCGTAGCAAGATTGAGCAGATAGCAGAGAGTTCCCGTTTACACTTTGCTCCCCTGCCCCGCAGCCTTCGCTGCTATCAAGCACCGCAGTGGTTCATTCGTTCCAGTCCATGCTTTGGCACATCTTCGTCACTCTCCATATTTGACATTATGGCTCAATTATTTTTCCTCACCCGAGGACATGCCTATTGATCTTAGAGACATGCCTATTAATCTTAGAGAGGGGACAAGGGAAGGAGAGAGAGAGAGAGAGAGAGAAACATTGATTGGTTGTCTCTTGAATGCACCCTGACTAGGGACCAAACCTGCAACCTAGGCTTGTACCCCAACTGGGAACTGAACCCACGACCTCTCCGTTTACAGGGCAATGCTCTAACCAATTGAGCTACACAGACCAGGGCTAGGGCTCACTTTTGATGTGCATTTATTGGGCTTTGAAAAATGTAGAATGACATATATCCACTATTGTAGTATCATACAGAATAGTTTCACTGTCCAAAACATCTTCCGTGCTCTGCCTGTTATCGCTGCCCTAACCCCCAACCGGTGGCAACCATTGATCTTTTTACTGTCTCCATAGTTTTGCCTTTTCCAGAATGTTAACATGGTTGGAATCTTACAATATGTAGCCTTTTCAGATTGGCCTTCCTAAATTGGTACCATACATATAAGTTTTCTCAATGTGTTTTCATGGCTTGATAGCCTATTTTTTTTTATTTGGTGCTGAGTAATATTCCATTGTCTGTATCACAGTTTATTTATCCACTGTCCTACCAAAAGTCATCTTGGATGTTCCAAAATTTTGACAATTATGGTGACTGTAAACATCTGTGCACAGGTTTCTGTGTAGACATAAATTTTCAGTTCATTTGGGTAAATACCAAGGAGCATGAGTGCTGGATCGTATGGTAAGAGTATGTTTAGTTTTGTGAGAAACTGACAAACTTTCTTCTGAAGTGACAGTACCATTTTGCATTCCTATAAACAGCAAGCAAGAGTTACTGTTGCTGCAAATTCTCATCAGCATTTAGTGTTGTCAGTGTTTTGGGTGTCAGCCATTCTAATAGGTAGTACAGTCATATTTCGTTGTTGTTTAATTAGCAGTTGCTTATTAACATATAATTTCAAATGCTTGTTTGCCATTTGTATATCTTCTTTAGTGGGGTGTCCAAGTCTTTGGCCCATTTTTTAAGCTGGTTGTCTATTATCTTATTGTTGATTTAAGACTTCTTTGTATATTTTGGATTACAGTTCTCTATCATATCTCTCTTTTTATTTTCTCCCAATGTGTGGCTTGTCTTCTCATCCTCTTAGCATTGTCTCTGAGAGCACAGGTTTTTAATTTTAATGAAGCCCATCTTCTCAATTATTTCTTTTGTGGATTGTGCCTTTGGCGTTGTATGTAAAAGTCATCTAGGTTTTCTCTTGCATTATTTCTAGGAGTCATATAGTTTTGTATTTTATTGGGTTGGCCAAAAAGTCTGTATCATTTTTCCCATAAAATAAAAGATACATTTTTTATTTTTACAAATGATTTTATTGATTTGGATATTTTGAGCATGTCGGCTATGTCCCACATGGTATAATGTTGATGGTTCTCAGTTAATGTCTGGATTTGATTGCTATCAACTTCAGCTGACCTACCCAACCATGAAGCATCTCATTTCCAGTGAGAAATCTGCAGTGTGAAACTTCACAAACCACTTTTGACATGTTTGATCAGTCACAACACCTCCATACACTGCACAAATCTTTTTTTGCCTTTCAATTGCATTTTTACCTTCTTGAAATAATAAAGCATAATATGCTGAAAGTGTATATTTCTTTCCATCTTCAATATTAAAAGGGTTACACAAAAATTCATCAATTTTGACGTTATTTTAAAAATGCAAGCCCTGGCTGGTGTAGCTCAGTGGATTGAGTGTGGGCTGCGAACCAAAGTGTAGAAGGTTCGATTCCCAGTCAGGGTACATGCCTGGGTTGCAGGCCATGACCCTCAGCAACCGCACATTGATATTTCTCTCTCTCTCTTTCTCCCTCCCTTCCCTCTCTAAAAATAAAAAAATAAAAAAAATGCACACCAATATGACAGCTGTCACAATACAACTGGACAAAATTGTTTCTAAGTGAAGTTAAAGACAACTAAGTGCTACTAGAACCATCTTACAGGAAAAAAAGCAAATAAACATTTGGCCAACGCGATGCATTTAAGTCTGTGATTTATTTTAAATTTTTGTGAAGTGTAAGATCTGCATCTAGATTCATATTTTTGCATGTGGAGGCACAGTTCTTCCAGCATCATTTGTTGAAAGATTGTCTTTGTTCTTTATTGTTCTTGCCCTTTTTCCTAAGATCAGTCGACTGTATTTATGAGGGTCTGTTTCTGGGTTCTCTCTCCTGTTCCACTGATCTGTTTTTGTTTCTCACCAATACCACTCACTCTCAACTATGGCAGCTTTACAGGGAGCCTTCAAACTGGGCAACGTCAATCGTCTGACTTGATTCTTCTTCAGTACTAAGCTGGCTGTGCGGGGTCTTTTGACTATTCGTGTAAACTTTGGAATAAGTTTATTGATGTCCAGAAAATAACTTGCTAGGATATTGATTGGAGTTGTGTTGAATTATAGATAAATTTGTGAAGAACTGATTTCTTGACAATATTAAGTCTGTGCATGAACATGAAATAGCTCTTTATTTAGTTCTTTGATATCTTTTGTCAGACTTTCATCATAGAGATCTGGTACATATTTTGTTAGATTTATACCTGACCATTTTCAATTTTTAGGTGAAAATATGAATGGTAATGTGTTTTTAATTTCAAATTTCACTTGTTTGTTGCTGGATATAATAAATGATTGATTTTTATTTATTAAGCTTGTACTCTATAGTCTTGTAATATTGCTTAATAGTTCCTGCAGGGTTTCTTATTATTGATTCTTTCAGATTTTCTACATAAGCAATAATCTGCCAAGATAATTTTATTTTTCCCTTTTTTTGTAAACATATGTATATATTTACTTCCAAATACAGTTGGCATTCAATATTACATTAGTTTTTCATGTACAACAGAGTGTTTAGACATTTATATAACTTAACTGATCAGCCTGATAAGTCTAATATCCATCTGACACCATAGGTAGTTAACACAATATTGTTGAATGTATTCCCTATGCTGTACTTTACATCCCTGTGACTTTTTATAACTGGAAATTTGTACTTCTTCATCCCTTTCCATTACCCATCTCTCAAAACCCCTGGCACCTGGCAACCATCAAAATATTCCTTGTATCTATGAGTTTGTTTCTGTTTTGTTTGCTTTAGTGAATTAATCAATCAGTTCAAATAGGTTTTTTTGGTGGAGTCCTTAGGGTTCTGTGTATATAGTATCATGTCATCTGCACATAATATCAGTTTTATTACTTCTTTTCTAATTTGGATGGCTTTTATTTCTTCTTCTTGTCTGATTGCTGTGGCTAAGACTTCCAATACTATGTTGAATAAAATTGGTGACAGTGGATATCCTTGTCTTTTGCCTAATCTTAAGGAGAATGATTTTAGCATTTCACCATTGACTATGATGTTAGTTGTAGGTTTGTGATATATGGCCTTTATTATGTTAAGGAATGTTCTCTCCATTCCCACTTTGCTGAAAGGATTTTTTTTTAATCATAAATAGGTGCTGGATTTTGTCAGATGCTTTTTCTGCATTTGTTAATATGATCATATGATTGTTATCCTCGTTTGTTTATGTTGTGTATCATGTTAATTATTTTGCCAATCTTGCATCCCAGGAATAAATTCCAATTTATCATAGTGTATGAGCTTTTTAATGTATTACTGAATCCAGTCTGCTAATATGCTGTTGAGGATATTTTTCATTTATTTTCATCAGAGATATTGGCCTATGATGTTCTTTGTCTGGTTTTAGAATCAGTAATGCTGGGCTCTCTCACAAAATGAGCATGAGAGTCTTCCCTTCTCTTAAATTTGTTGGAACAGTGTGAGTTTTTCTTTGAATGTTTGGTAGAATTTACCTGTGAAGCCATCTGGTACAGAATTTTTGGTTTCAGGAGTGTTTTGATTACTGATTTGATTTTGTTAGTATAGTTATTGGTCTTTTCAGAAGACTGTATGTTTCTAGGAACAGGTTGTCCAGTTTGTTGGCATATTATTGTTCATAGTATTTTCTTATATTCCTTCATATTTCTGCAGTGTCAGTTGTTACTTCTCATTTATTTCTGATTTGATTTATTTGTATCCTCTCTTCTCTTTTTCTAAGGATATTTATTATTTTTAAATGTTTCTAGAGCAGAGTAGTTCAGAGAAATCCCCCGCCCTTCGAGCCTTTGTGCAGTTTCTCTAAAAGAAAGATGAGCTCTTGACAATGAAACAGCTTGCACAGCACGAGGACAGTAAGTTCTAGAGGCTTCTGTCACAGCACTAGTAGAAACGCAGCTTTGCCTGCTCTGTGCAGGTGTCAAAAATGGCTGTGGGCACTGATTCAACGCCAACAGGAGTCCCCAGTTTGGGGCGAGTGAAGAAGGAAACTGTATTCTATGAAAAACAGTTCAATTGTGGTACCATACAACTATAAAAACAGCATGAAAGGGAGGTGGCCCTGGGACGAGGTCCCTCTCTCTCTTTTTGATGAGTTTGGTTACAGGTTTAAGGT